CCGTTAAAATTTTATATTCCAGTGAACGTTTCCGTATTACGAATAATTCCTTTCCTTTCATACTGTAAGGTCTTACTTTTCAAATTCATATCCTCCTAATTTTATTCCTAAATAATCAGTTAAAAAAATCAATGCGGATAAAACTCGCTTTTGAAGAAAGCCTCGGCAGAACACGCTGCTGGTATCCGATTAGTGAATATCAAAAAAGAAATAGTATAAGGGACTTGATCAAAACTATTTCAAAGGAATTCAAATTGTCCTATAAGGATGGAATCGAATTAGAATTGGATGGGTTTACACTTTTGCCTAGAGCTGATGTTGAGCTAACGATACGAGATGGTGACATGATCAGGTATCTATATTATCAGTTGCAAAATTATAATTTATCGGATTTGAAATATTACAATGACTAATTAATTATATTTGGATCGTGGTTTAGAGTAAAGCCATATGTCCCAGGTACCTGTATGCTTAAAATGAACTTACTTTATTTCAAATTGATACTTATTTCGACATATTAACAAAAAAAGTAGTTTCTAAAGGTTCAAAGAAAAGACCATTCAAATTGGATTCGAATAGCAGGAAGGCTAGTTTGAATAAACGCGTAACATGGTCCGCCACTGGGGATAATATTAATAGTCCGAGTGAAGATGATTCTTCCTCGGAGTCTGATGATTCGTCATCGGAGAAAATTACAAAGAAATCGAAGACATATCATGAAAATGGATTGGTCGATGCTATTGAACCAAAAAAGCAAAAAATTCGTAATCGGATTGATTCTTCGCCGGACGAGGAAGAAGACAGTAGCTCTAGTTCTAGTGAATCTTCCAGTGAAGAAGAGAGCGAAAAAGATTCTTTGGTTGCTGACGATAGTGACAGTTCCAAATCTTCCGCTGCTCCTGATGAGAATGCGAAAGAAGATGGCCTCAATAATAATAACGATAGAAATGAAGATCATGACGCGGGAAAAAAATTACCAAAGCAAGTGGTCTTATAATTTCTTTTGGTGCATTCAAAAGTTGCAAGACTTTCAATTTAACATTGGCCGTTATTTAAGTTCTGTGAATAATTCCAGTGTTTCTCAAAAAAAGACTTCAAGTCAAAATACCAATGACCAATTGGAGAAAGAAACTACACCCATGTCACCCCTAAATCATAGTAACGAGCAGCAAAGAAATGAATTAAAT